GCTGCGTACGCGGCGCTATTGCGGTTGGCTTGCCCATTCAATACTTCCCAATCAGGAAATACAACGGTGGCGTTAGATCTCATTACGCCGGCAGTTCTTGACAACGCATATTATGTGGGGCTTCAGTTGTCACTGGGGCTGTTCACGTCGGACCAAGCGCTGCTGACTCAGGCGAATTTGAGCGCCGCAGTGAAAGATAACGCAGACCATACGGGAGGGTGGGCTACTAAGTTTGGGAGGGCGATGGTGCAGATGGGGACAATTGAGGTGAAAACAGGAACGCAGGGGGAGATTAGGAAGAATTGTCGTGTTGTGAATAGTGCAAATCTCGGGAGTATTATAGGAGTGGATGTTAAGGAAGAGGAGGATGAGTCGTTGGTGGCTTCAATGTGAGTGAGAGGCGTGTATGACTACCGGCTATGCTTTGCTTTGGAAAATAAGATTGGAAGATGGCATTTACTTAGTCGTAGGACTAGCAATAATAGCTATCGTTGTACGTAAGTTGTTGCTTGACAAAAATAATTGTTCATCCTTCTTTGTTGTCTAATTATTAGGTTCTCTGACCGGACGTAGAGCTACGTCCGGTCGGAACTAAAATTGCGTCAAAAAATAAGAAATACCTAGCAATTAATACCAAACAATAACGAGGAATATCATCATGTGAAGACCCAAAACCGAGTTATACCGAGTAATACCGAGTTATACAAAAAATACCGAGTTTTTTCTAGTTATACAAAAAAATACCGAGGAAAAACTCGGTATTTTTTTGTATAACTCGGTATTGGTCTTCTCAAAGCGGTATTCCTCGTTATTACCAAATAGTACCTAGCAATATCGAGCAAATACCAAATTTTTTTGCGGGATTTTAGTGCCGACCGGACGTTCCTCTACGTTCGATCGGAGGACCTAATAATTGTTGCATGGGTACTTATATAATTTCCTCATGAGTGGTGTTATATAATATCTTATTAATTATTTATAACTTAATATTTTTCTTGATAAGTTGGTCAGTTTGGTGCATCAATACAAAGTTTTCTATTTCGGCTCTCTTGAATAGCAGTTATTTATTTATTTATTTATAAATGATGCCAGTGTAGGATTTTTAATTTAAATTATTGGTGATTTTGCTGTTATTTAAATTTTAATATAAAGTTTAATTATTGATTAATTTGTTGCTGTTTTGAAATGATCACATAATTAATGTCTTAAGTACTCATCTCAACTTTATCTATTGGTTCAAAGTTTTGGTTACTAATAAAAAGGTCTTGATTCAAAACTTCATATGTAATTATGTGAGCTTATCTTATTGGCTCAAAAGTCCCAAAATTTTTTAGACTCAATTTTTTAGACATAAAAATTTTATCACTAAAGGAAGGAACAACCATATTATTTAGGGTAAATTTTCGAAATAAGCAACATTAATAATTAAACTATAAGATTAAGCATGATCGTAAAAAAATTTAATTATAGGCAAAGTCGGTCGTTTAAACGGCGACTTAGGTGCGACCAAACGACAGCGTGGCAGCTGATGTGGCGAAGGCGGACTTACTTATAAGTCGCCCGCGTAACGGGCGACTTATAAGTCGCCGTGTTAAACGGCGACTTAGGCTTATCTCATTTATTTGCCTTTCCCTTTCCCGATCCCGATCATTCACTCTCCTCTTCGCCATTTCCAGATCGTGCTGCTCCGCCTCCGCCCGTTCGTCGCCGGATCAGGTAATGTGAAGTTATTTTATGCATTTTATATGTTAAATTAGTTAGATTTATGTTGATTATTGTTTATTTTTCTTAGAGAAGTAAATATATGTGATTTAGAAGGTGATTTTGTAGGTTTTTTTGTGAAACTCTTTATTTGTGTAGTGTATTTGAAGATTTGTTTGTTCTAAGCATAGATTTATGCATTTAGGCTTCGAATGTTTAAAATATATTGTAGATCTGTGATTTAGGGTTAAATTTTTGCTTAGCTAAGCTTTCTTTAGGGTTTCAAATTTTATATAAAATGGGTAGAAGATATGTGCGCCTTATTCTTTTGAATCCTTTAATTTTTAGATTTAAATCGCACGTTGAAAATTTAAATCGCATGTTGAAAAGCTAAATCGCATTTTTGCTTAGCTAACCAGAAATAGCTGCAAATTCGATGATGAAAATTTAAATGAAGATCTCCGTATTTGAGAAATAAAAATATTTAAATTAAAGTTAAGATATATAAATGCTAAAAATTTAATCCTTACTATAATTTTATTTCAATTTACATAAATTTTATTTTAACAGGATATGACTCACTAGTTATATTAAACAATATATTAAATAAAAATTGTAATATATTAATAATAATGATTATATACTATTATATTCTTTATATGGAGCCTTAATATAAAATTAAATATATTATTAAATTTTTATGTATCATACTTGATGATAATTTCATATAGAATAATAATTAAATTTTTAATGTGGTGAAAGAGACACTCACCAATAACCATTAGCTTAAATTTTTTATTTAATAATATAATAATCTTCTAACGTATATTGACTCACTCTGAAAATTGAATATACAAACAAAAGCCAATTTAATTATTTAATTAATTAATTAGCAGCTTCGATCTTCACCTCAAATTAAAATATCTTTGAGGCCCATTAGTTTGCCCATACTTCCTATTTTCGAAATGAAAGTTGAGAAGCTTACATCTAAGAATATTATTTGGTTGTTCAACCAAAAAAATGAAATCTTTTTCTTTATTCACTCATTAGATAATTATCTTGATCAAGCATGAATCTCTAGGCAAAATCTAATTGAAGTTTCAAAAATTAAAATCAAGAGTATTCGAACTCCGATTTCAGCCAGCTTAAAATGTCACCATCCCATTTATTTGACTTTCAAGTGCATAGGAATATTCTTCTTCTCATTGGACAAGGAGGAAGAAAGTATGTCTTCATTTGAGATCAATTTTTTTTTCTAATTAGTCTAATTATGTCTTCATTTGAGAACAAAGTTTTAATAGTCTAATTATGTCTTCATTTGAGAACAAAGTTTTAATAGTCTAATTATGTCTTCATTTGAGAACAAAGTTTTAATAGTCTAATTATGTCTTCATTTGAGAACAAAGTTTTAATAGTCTAATTATGTCTTCATTTGAGATTAAAATTTTTACATATTAGCTACTTGGACGGAATTAAACATGCATAACTAACTAAAAGTGTTATGCAGCAATCATGAAAAAAGTTAGAATATTTAATGGTTTAACTTAGATAATGAGTGGATATAACTCTACATTGCTTAAAGATTGTATAGTTCATATAATTATTTTACTCTTATATACTTTTATACTATTATATTCAGGGATAATATTAATTAAGATAAATATATATTAAGAATTTGTGCTCTATATCATTTAAAAAAAAATATAGTTTCTTACCAATTTTTACCATCTAAAAAAAATTCAACAAGTAATGCAAAATTATCACATAAGTTGTAGTTGTTCATAGCAGGAGTTCAACAAATGTTTAAGTTACATCAACCATATAATAGATCAAATACACACATACAATCACTTCTACTAATGGCAATGATCCGAAGGACCAGCGACCATATATTGGGAACTTACTAGTCAAGTAACTCTTCTACTGGTTCTACCCTTGAAGGACCAGCGACCACATCATCCCTTTCTGCTGGGCATGAAGTTTCGTATCTTTGTAAATTTGGAGGGTTAGTATTATCTCCTAACACCTCAATCTCTTCGACATCAACGTACATTATAAGCAATTCTGTTGCAGCTTGGCATAACAGAACTTCACAAACTTCATCATCCTCAACTTCCGAAGCGACATACTCATTTCCAACAGGCATCCGACATACTAACTTTACAGAATACTTTGAAGGATCGTACTTCAGTGCTCTAAGTATCCTAAATTTAAGCTGTTCTAAGTTGCAATTTCTTGGCACATGTACGTAGGGGTCGACTCCTACCCCCAAAATAGCTTGGGGTGAAATTGGTGTCCACTTTTAATTCACCTCCATACATAAGCACAAAGGTCGCACCACGTCCACTCATTATTGATGTACTCGTACGTATCACTATGCAAAATGAAAAATTTACGTATCGCATCGAGAGGAGGTCGCTTGCTCGGAAAGAAGCCAACCAAAGAAAACCTAAATGGTTCCGCTAAAGCCCTAATTTCTTCATCAGAAACCCACAAAGCAGGAAGACCACGAAAGGTAGAGTGCTTTAGATCAGGAAAAGAAGAAGAAGAACCAGCAAGAGCTTGAAGAAAAGACTTAGGGTGAGAAATCCCCCCAAAAAAGCCAGGATCTCTCAAAATAGACGAAGGCATACCGAAAATGCCGGAGAAAAGGAAAGAAAAACCAAAGAGAAACAAGAGAAGAGAGTAGAGAACAACTTTCCTGAAGAGGCAGAGCGGAAAATCCCCCGCCGACGGTGGGAAAACGCCACGACGCCACCCAAGAGAAAACCTTAGGGTTTTCTCGGAGAGCAGCGCAACAAAGGACCGATGAAGTTGTGATTATGACTCAAACCTTATTTGATTAATTTAATAAAAATAAAAAAAATCTGGAAATTTAAAATCACAACTAAAACGAAAACTAATAATTTTACGACCCAACAAAACTAATCAAAATAAGTTCATTCAATCTTTCCATTTTGTCAATATAATAAACACAATTACAATCAATTGCATCAAAGATAAAGAATAATTTATTATTATGAAAAAATAATATCAGATGTCATAACAATATTTTCATTCATAATAAATTCTATTTAGAAATGAATGTAATTGATAAATTACTTATATATTGTAGTTATCTCAAAATAAGTAAAAAAATTTTAAAATTCATTTTAATTAATTTTTTATCAGATAAATCTAGCAGAAATTTCTTTCCTCCTTGATATTATTATTGTCAAAACAACTACATCGACAATTATGGCTAGTCAGACGACTAAGTGCCATCCTCCCATATTATTTTCCAAAGCAAAGACAAGTCAGCTCACTCATCTCTCACATGTTTGCCACCAAAGACGACTCGCCTTCCGCCTCTTTCTCCGCTCCTTTGTTCCAAAGAGTACTCGCAGTATTCACTACGTGACAATTCTTCCTGATGTCCCCCTGCTGTCCCGTCTTCACCTCAGTATTCCCCATCTTCACCATCGCCCTTGCAAACTTGACAGCCCACCCTGCTCCATTCCCTGCGTTAGCATTCACCGCGGCGCTCAAACTAGTCTGCGTCAATAATGCCTGGTCCGATGTGAATAGCCCAAGCTCCCTTTGAACCCCCACGTAATATGCATTGTCCAGCACCGTCGGCGTCATAACATCCATCGCCACCGTCGTATTTCCCGACAAGGAACTATTAAAAGGGCAAGCCAACCGCAACAGCACCGCATAAGCAGCACTCAGCGTGGGGTCCACCTGACTAATCGAGCTGAAATTATAGATCCTGTTTCTGAAAGATGAGCAATGGGAAACCCCAATGGAGTGGGCCCCGGACAGCGTGACAAGCTCATCGGCAGTGAGGTTTTTTGCCGCAAAGGCTTTGACGAGAGTGGAGGCGTTGGAGAGAGGGGAGGGGAGATTGGCGAGGGCATCGGTGAATAAGGATATGTTGCCGTCGCGGCGACCGGAGGGGATATCGTAGAAAATGTTGCCGGTGAGGGCGGAGGAGTCTCGGGCGGCGAAGGCGATGATGTCAGCGCAGGAGACGGTGTTGGGGCATCTGGCTTCGACGGCGGATTTGGCGGCGTCAATTACTCCGAAGCCGTGGAGGCTTGGGTTATTGGGGGGAGCGTCTTTTTCTGCTAAGTTGCTACTGGTCGAATCTATTAGGACGGAAGCGTCGCAGCCCTGTTCGCATTGCAAGTTGAAATGAAATGAAATTTATAAATTAATTTAGATCCAAAGAAGGCGCCAGGTCTGTAAATTCTTTTTTTTTTTTTGTTAAGTAGAATTTAGGGTGTGTTTGGCACACTTTTTTTTTAAAAAAAAAATGATGAGCCTTTTTCTTTATTTCTTATGAAGAAGACAAAGACGCACGTGGTTTGGGAAAACATATATAAATAAGATTTAGAGGCTGTATGAAAGTTTTTTTTTAAATAAATTTTTGTTTGATTATAATTCTTGAGAAAGCATTTATTATTAGATCTTCTAAAGTATAATAGGTTTAAGAAACATAATTATCTCAAAATATTCTCACAAAAAATTGATCAGTTCAAACTCGAAGCTCTTAAATTTGATTTGAAATTTATGTAATATTAATTACTTATATATATTGAAGTGCTAAATCTTATCTAGATCAGTTCAAACTCGAACCCTTTATATTATAATTCTAAGAAAATTATTGACTATCTTTTCTAAACAGATGAACAACAACTTTTAAAAGCTCTATTTTCTCACACCTAATTAATTTCATAAATAGATGCAAACATCCCAAATCAAATGTTAATAAATTCCTTAAACTCAAATATAATAAATTCTAAGATAATTAAATCGGAAGACTACTTAGCTTAGCTTGATATTATTAAAATTTCATTTGGGACAACTTTTTATTATATTTTAAATTAATTTTAAAGAAAAAAATTAAAATTTTGTATCAAAAAATTACTTTAAGAAGCAATAACAAAGTTGTTCCAAATAAAATCTTAATCAAACCAAATCATTAACTGTTTTTCTTTTTTTAGTCTTTTAAAAGATTTATGTAAGAAATTTTTAAAAACTAATTAATTCCTGTAAGTAACGTGATTATAAATATTCTTAGTTTAACCAGTAATGAGGCTCTGGCATAAGATCTGTCTTCGCAGTGAGATTCAAAGTATCTAAAATACTAATTTATAATACCACTGAGAGAGAGAGAGAGAGAGAGAGAGAGAGAGAATGAGAGAGACCCTGACGAAGCAATCGTGGAAGAACATTCGAATGAGGCCGGCAGCGACGCCGGGGTTGTTGGCATAGGCAGATGCCACCGTCTTCTTGACGAGACTCTCGGCCAATGGACAGCTCTGGCTGTAGAACCCTACCTTCAGCTGGCCGTCCACGGCGGCCGGCGGCGCCACCGCTACGATGAGGAGAAAAAGGGATAGCAGTTTCATTAAAGAAAGCATTTTTATTTGAACTACTTTTACTAGCTCGCACGAATAGTTTGTTTCAATTAGAGGCAAGCTGGCTAGCTGTGAACTCAGCCGGTGAAGGATAATCAATATATAAAGGCTTCAAGAGGGGAGGAGTTTTGCTTGGAGAAGAAGGGAGATTCATTAAAACAAAGTGGTGAATTTCGAGTTAGAATATTATTTTATCGTTGGATTTGTTTGAAGATGTGTGGAACGTACGCATAGTTACATCTCAAATTTAATGTAAGAACGAATTTTAAATAATATATTTTGAGCAATCGTTACACCGAAAAAAGATCTTTATAGTTCATCATTGGAAAATTCTAAGCTAGCAGGCATGGTAGTAGACCTTACCTGGTTTAACATGGTAGCGAAGATGTAGTCACATAGGACACCTTCAATTGAATGGAACGTCATTCGTCTATTCCCTATTTACAATTGCCTCAAGTTTCAATCCCAACAATGCATTATATGTTTTGCTCTGTTGTGAACAACATTGCATTGTTCAAAACACGAAAAAAATGTTAGATTTTTCGTTTGGTTGGACGATCGTGGCTACTGAAAACTGAATAATGTTTTTCAATTGGAGATGAATTTAATAGGTTGTCCATGGTATAAGATTTAGTCACAAAATTGGTTGTGAAATGCTTTACTACAAATATCATACATTTTTTTTTAGACTTTTAAGCCAATTAAAACAAACACACATCACATATGCAACCTTCAAACATAAACCTCTTAGTAATTATAACATCTTATAAGTAGTGTAATAATTAAATTAAATATTTCCCTGTATTTGTTAATTGAGTTGGCAGCAATTCATTGGCTCTAGACATAAACTAAAATCTATATATAGAGACTTACTGTAACAGAGAAGATATGAAATAAGATTTCTTTACTTTACTTTCTTCCATGTTCTCTTTCCCGCTTTCTACTCTCTGCGCATATGTTTCTTCATGGTATCAGAGCGGGTTCAAGATGGTAAGATCGGCGACATCTGAGAATAGCGAGAGATCTCTCATGGAAAATCAAGAAGAGATCCAAATCTCATCGTCGCTCAAGATCGTAGTGACGAACATCAAAAACATCGCTCCGATTCATCTCGACTCGAACAACTACGCGATTTGGAAGCCTCAAATCCTCAAAATCTTCAGTGCCCATGGATTTCACAGGTTTCTTGATTCATTTACGACACCTCCCTTACAATCTATCACTCAAAACAACGGGTCTTCTTCCTCTAACCCGCTGTACTCACAATGGCATCTCACGGATCAAATTCTTGCTGCAGCCCTTTGCTCCACAATATCTGCCTCTATCTTACCGTATATTGTAAACCTTCAATCAACCGCTGCGATTTGGAATGCTCTTGAAACCAGATTTCAGTCTTCCAATAGATCGAAAGTCATACAACTTAAAAATACTCTTCACAACATCTCTCTCAAGAACCTAACAATGACTCAATACCTCGCTGAAATTAAAACTCTAGTTGTGATCAAATAGCCGCTGCAGGTTCTAGCGTCGATACTGAAGATATTATCTTATATATCTTAAACGGTTTACCAATCTCGTATCAGTCATTTAAAACGGCTATACGAACAATGCTTACTCCCATAACTCTTGATCAACTATACCCTCTGTTATTAAGTAGTGAGGAAATAAATCTTGCATCAGATGCCATTCGCAATGCCACATCTTCTGATCCAGGTCTCGCTATATATGCCAATAAAGGAAAATATCGTAAGAGCAAGAATCGGAGCTACACCGTACCCAAAGCACAGGTAGAGCATACCCTGCTGCATCTAACTCCAGCAGACAATACTCGGCTACATCCAGCTCAAGTCGTCCGTCGTCCAACACACCAGTTTTCTGTCAAATATGCCTCAAGAAGGGTCATTCAGCGACTTCTTGTTGGCACCGATTAAACACCCAATATGTTCCATCCTCTCGCACAGCTTTGGTTTCCACTTCCGACAACAACTCTAGTAACTGGTTACTAGATTCGGGAGCCACCTCGCACCTCACCAACTCCATGGACAATCTGTCACTCTCAAATTCATACAATGGTTCTGAAAACATAACAGTTGGCGATGGACGGACGGTAAACATAGATCATATCGGGGCTGGTATTTTGCCAACCCCAAATCGTAAGCTATTACTCTCCAATATTTTTCATACACCTGAGCTTAAATTTAATCTGTTATCAATATCAAAACTAACCGCTGACAACGGTATATCTATCAAGTTTAATCCACTTGGTTTTGTTCTTAAGGATCTCAAGATGAAGAAAACTCTTCTACACTGACCGTGTACCAACGGTCTTTACCAGGTTCTGATTACTCCTATCAAGGGTAATTAGCAGGCTCTCTCGGCTACCAGTACTTCCTCCGAAATTTGGCATTCAAGAACCGGTCATCCTCATGATCGTACATTATCTACCATCGCCAAAGTCAATCCGCAGCTACATATTTCTACTTCTTTTTTGTCTAAATGCACTTCTTGTAACCAGGCCAAAGGCCACAAACTTTCTTTTAATAAGTCTACTAGTCATAAACAATATTTACTGTCTTTGATTCATTCAGATGTTTGGGGTCCCACCCCCGTTCTTTCTATTCAAGGTTTTCGTTATTACGTGGTTTTCATGGATGATTTCTCGCGCTTTACTTGGCTTTTTCCGATCAAACATAAATATGAAGTTCCTACTATTTTTATTTATTTTAAAAAGAAAATTGAAAACTCTACTTCACTGTCTATCAAGACTTTTCGCATAGATGGAGGAATTGAATTTGTGAACAACCATCTCAAGCAATTTCTTGAGCAATCAGGCATCACGCATCAAATATCTTGTCCCTACACTCCTGAACAGAATGGTGTTGCGGAGAGGAAACACAGGCATATTATTGAGACAACAAGGACTTTACTTCACTCTGCATCTCTTCCATACTCCTTTTGGCCTGACGCAATGCTGACCTCTGTGTATCTAATAAACCTAATGCCATCTCCTGTCATGTTCAATATTACTCCCTTTGAATTGCTTTATCACACCAAACCCACTTACACTCATCTTCGAGTTTTTGGCTGTGTCTGTTTTCCCTTGGCTCCACCGCAAAGTCATCACAAATTACAACTAAAAGCAACCATGTGCATATTTTTGGGCTATTCCGAAATGCATAAAGGTTATAGATGCTTAGATCCACATACAAATAAAATCTTCATATCCCGTAATACCACTTTTGACGAAACTCTATTTCTGTTCTCCTCAACTAGCCAGACCACAGCCTCATCCAATGTTTAACAATCACTTTTTTCTCACTCCAACGTCTATCACGCCTCATATGCCAATCGCTCGGAATGACGCCTCTGTGCCAGAATGCAATATTCCAACTCTTGCACTGTCTGCTAACAATGTGCAAGAACCAGCTTCAAGAGAATCTTCTTCCAATGATAGTCAGATACCCTCTCATCATCATATGATCACAAGGAAACAAACAGGTTCTCTTAAACCGCGGATTCGTATGAATCTATGTCATATTACTTCTACTAAAGATCTTCTTGCAGCACCCACTACATTCACCGAAGCTGTAAAAATTCCCGCATGGAGACAAGCTATGGCTGTCGAGTTCTTAGCTCTCCAACAACAAGGAACATGGAGTCTTGTACCACCTCCCAAAGAAGCGTCTGTGTTGGGCAGTAAATGGACTTACAGACTCAAATTACATTTGGATGGAACGGTGGCTACGCCCAAAGCTCGGTTAGTTGCACTCGGCAATCATGCATCAACAATATGGCCTCGATTACACGGAAACATTTAGGCCTGTGCCTAAACTACCTACAATTCGGATCTTGCTAACTATAGCCCTTCACAATAACTGGAATGTACAACAATTTGACGAAGACGTGGCTAACGCATTTCTCCATGGCTCTTTATCTGAAAAAGTCTATATGGTTCAACCTAAAGGCTTCGAAGATGCTATACATCCCAACCACGTATGTTGTCTTCACAAAGCTATTTATGGGCTAAAACAAGCACCACGTCAATGGTATAACACATTTACTTCTTATCTCGTTTCACTCGATTTCTATCAAAGTAATGCTGATCCGTCACTACTTATATTTAAACAAAACAACATTCAAATTTACCTGCTTATGTACGTAGATGACATACTTCTTACGTGTAATAATATCGAATTCATACACACTATCATATCTAAGCTTAACACTCGGTTTGCAATGAAGCATCTTGGCCAGGTGCATGAGTTTCTTAGTATCAGGATTACTCAATCTAAGGATTCATACTTTCTGTCCCAGCATCATTACGTGCATAAAATTCTTCAACAACCAGTAGCTCTCTCTTCCATAGAATCAGAATACCGTGCTCTAGCAGCACTCACCGCAGACGTCTTATGGCTTCGTCGCTTGCTTAAAGATTTAGGTGTAGACCAGTCCACTCCAACTCCTATGTACTGTGACAACACCTCAGCTATAGCATTGGCCAACAATCCTGTATTCCATGCTCGCACAAAGCACATAGAAATTGACCAAAAATTTTTTCGTGATCACATTCAGAGCAATACTATTAGCCTTCGTCAAATATCTACCTTAGATCAACTAGCGGACATCTTTACCAAGTCTCTCTCTACAAACAAATTTATTCATCTTAGAGCCAAACTTACGGTCACATTGGACCCAACAGTTTGCAGGGGCGTATAAGTAGTGTAATAATTAAATTAAATATTTCCCTGTATTTGTTTATTGAGTTGGCAGCAATTCATTGGCTCTAGACATAAACTAAAGTCTATATATAGAGACTTACTGTAACAGAGAAGATATGAAATAAGATTTCTTTACTTTACTTTCTTCCCTGTTCTCTTTCCCGCTTTCTACTCTCTGCGCATATGATTCTTCACATCTATTTCATTAACATTAAAAAAAAATGTTAGTAATCATCAGTATCATTATCATTATCATCTTTATCCTTAATGTCACCATCAATACAGCCCAAATCATGTTGTTATTGTATGTCCTTAAGCATTAATTAAACAATCTCTTCAATTCACAATAGATTGTCTATAAATAATTTCTTCTACAAGAACAAAAGCTAAGAGCGACTTTCAAAGAATTGAAAAATTAACGACTTGTTTAGTGATTTTGCCTCCAACGGTGACAATTGTTTGTATGCTGAACTATCAATAAAACAAATAGAATAAGATTCAAAACTTCCCTAAGTTACCAAATTCTTCAGCTAAATATGTTAAAAGTGACCGTCCGTTAATGCGGCTTGTCACATTACATGTTAAAGCCCATTCATGGCAAAAGCTTCCACCCGACCATCCATTTGGGGAACCAAAAAAAAAAGTGGAGATAATATAAAATAATGTAATCATACAATACAATTGAAATGAAATTTTTTATAATTAAATTACAAACCAAAATTTTGAGCCAAAAATATTAATTTGTTGATTATGACCTTCATTACATCTCTAGAAATTTTAATCTCTGACGTTTAGTACTTTTAAAACAATGTTAGTGTTGACCTCATTATTCGAGGTCATTTTCCCCGGAATCCATCTTTAGCTCCTAGGTCCTTGTAGCCTAGTGTAGACTTCGTCTTTAGGATTTCCCTTAAATAAATATCTACTGACGTAGAATTGACTCATCGCCAGCCAATTCGAATTTGAATTCACACTAGTTGAATTAACTACCAATCTCCCTTTATTCGCAAGCTACCCGATTGGAACCCCCGTTCTCCCTCTTTGTTGTCACAACTAGCCCTGGGACGAGCCCTCTCCCTCTCTGACTTGCTCTTAGATGCCTTCATCTACCCTAGTCCGATCCGTTCGCCCCTCTCTCCAACTTGCCCTTGCCCTTGCCCTAGCCGACAACCCTTAACAGCTTGTGAGGTTCAAGAGGGCTTTTCAACTTGGTAACTTCCTCTTCCTCCCTAATCTTTTCCAACTCCTTTAAGTTCCTTGTTTAGTTTTATCTGATCGATCAAGAGGACCCCTTATTGTGGAAGATTTTGTTTCTTAATGTAAAAATCGGCAGGAATCATGGATGTATGTACATTTCTTCTTCTTCAAAAGGGATTTGAAAGAGGTTTAATGAAAATTTTTGTTCAATTTCTTGAAAATAGATGAATGATTTATTTATGCATAAATTTGTTTTCTAAGAAAAAAAGGGTGAGATAATACATTTGACTTTAAATCGTTCGGATTAAGATATTATTTCGTCATATAGTTGAGCCATTTGTCTTTGGCACATTTCTGAAGTAATGCGGATCTTGAGATTGTATTGATGTGTTGAATGCATTGTTTTGAAAATGAATTTTATGGATTGAATATATGTTGCTATTTGGCTGGCACTTTGGATACATTTATTGTATTAATTTCATTTGCATCAAAACATGGAGATTAGTTTTTATATATTTTTCCATCCTTTTTTGTTGGAATATTTAGAAAATTATTTGTTCACTTTTGACATAAACCTTTATTGATGGAATAATGTGTATGGTGGTATGAAACTCTTCTTTCACTGGCAACAATTCTATAAGTAATTATTTGCTAAAAGAAACTTGGGTTTCAATTAGCTTGTCTTACTTTGGTTTGAGAATACTAGTTGTTATAAAAATCTCATGCTTTTCTTTCTTCTCTTTAAGAAAAGCTCTCTTGTTGACTTTATTCATGTGAAAGAATTAGAGAAATTTGGCTATGAAACTTGTTTGTTTCAACATGGCATGTCTATTCTCCTTATTTTTCATAATATGTTGTTAGTTCTGAATTTTGGCAAACGTTACATGTGTATGTTTAACATTGAAGGAAAGTTGTGAGTTTAAATTGGAAAAATCATTTCATATATTTGATAGCATATACTGCGAAGGATGGAGTTTATTGGAAGATGAAGTATGTGATTATTGAAAAGTGTTTGTGTTGAAAGGTGAAAGTGTATGTTGGAAATGTATTGTGTGAGGAGGATATAAGGAAAGTGTTTGGTTTTGAAAGGTAAAGTGACATGTGTATGTGTGTTTGAAAAGTAGA